GTACAATGATGTACATTAAGTGTTGTAATGAATGCGATGTGCTTCACGTCGAAGCGAATATCTCGGCGCAACACGGGTTAAGTAGTAATATTTGTGTGTGATTGCGTGTGATCAGTGTTATTTCAAGAATCCCTCTGCGCTTTTCTCCCCGCTCCTCTCGTTCGCTTCCCTTTACGGGACGCGCGCGACGGGGATAACCGCAATTACATCATTAATTTACGATTATCGCAAAGACGACGACTCGAGCACGGCCATTCGCATTTTCGAGCGGGACCTCCGGCGACTTTTAATGCGCTATGAATGGCGGCGAACCATAACGGTTCGACCGGTTCGCACGAACGCGATATTCGTCACGAGGATACACCTGACGCGTTCGACTAACAGAATCTACTTTATAAGGACGTCGTAAGTAGGCAGCGGTCTCCTTTTCACGGATATACTCTGTGTACGGGGTGTCCCAGAAGAAATTTCTCGGCGGACAGCCGTCAGTCTTCGACCGACTGCGCGACGATTCTGCCTTCGCGAGCCGCACCGTCAAGGCGAGACCGCGAAGGAATCGTCATTTCTCGCGTGTCACTTTTCCAATTTTTAACGTCGCATATTCCTGCGTCCGAGCCTTCAGTCAGAGTCCCGGAACGACGTTCACGTCGATACGCGCGCACAGGGAATAGAAAATCACTGAATAAACGCTGAATAAACAAAACTCGCTTCCTTCCGTGTTATTCGCCCGTCCGAGGAGAAGCGTTTCTCCTTGGAGCGCTCATTTGGCTCGAGAACGAAACTATCTGCCGCGCCGAAGGTCATCCGGTACTGTCGACGCGTGCATTTTATTTGCCCGATGCATATTGCATTCCGACGAGCGAAATCGCGGCGAACGAGTTACGGTATATCTCGCTAATGTTTGGTAATTGCCGACCATTCCGGTAAACGGTATTTCGGTATGCTTCGCTGTAACGCTATTTCTGATTGACGAAGAGAAAGAGTGAGAGAGGGGGGGGGGGGGGGTTTNCCTGAGATAAGATATCCCCTCGAGTATGGACAATAGTTGAGTATAAGACAATAGACATAATTTAAAGCTAGTACGTGAGAATGCAATAAAATGTAATTTAAGGAGTACCGAAATTAGCGGAAATACGAGCTGTGTTCCGAAATTGTAATCCACAGGTAGAATAACATTTAATTGGTCAATTAGAAAAAAAGGCAAGGATTTCTTTATCATGATTGGTTAATTAAATGCCATTCCGCCCGTCGACTACGGTTCCGAAACGCAGCCATGCACGGTAAAAGACATCTTGTGCTTGTATTCGGTTCTTGTTAAATCTGTTGTGTTAAATTTTTAACATACCCGCGTGCTACTTTAAAATTGCGTTTATGTCATCTCAACATTTTGTGTCAATATTCAATATATATAAGTGTTAAAAGGACACGTTTTATACTTTAGTGTTGTATTAATTTTGCGTTCATTTTTGACATTATATTTGTGTTACTTTTTATTATATTCATGTTGTATTAGATTAACACAAAAATTTGGGCGGACCGGGACATGTGAAATGTATGAAATTTAGCACAGATTTTTTTTAATTGTGCGGAGGATTTATTAAAATAAGATTAATAAGATTATTAACTAATAGGTTAATAATCAGTTGAGAATAAATATGATATACAAGATCCAATATAAAATTAATAGGAATGCAAGATCAAATATGAAATTAACTGAGTAAATCGAAGTAAATCGAAGAAAATAATAAAGAGAGAGAAGAGAGAGGAGAACGGTGAGATGACCTTTCGGAAATCGCTTATGACACCTGGATTTTCGAGCGGTCGTCCGACCATCTTCCTTGCGACTTTCAAGGGATTTACTCGTTGTTTGCGTTTGTTTGTTGTTTAACGCGCAATAATGCGCTGAGTATATTTCGCCGCGTGTAATCCGCGCGAGAGGCCACACATATGTATTATTTAATTCGCACTTGATTTCTCCTGCCGTTCGACAGCTCGTGTGATTTTCGCGCTCGTACGAATTCGCACGTACTCGTGAACCACGACTTGAGACCGTCCGACGGGAAATCGTATTGGATCTTTTTCATAACGTAATCGGCAAATCGAAATATCGAAAGTTGAGTAAGGGAGTCGCTTGCGCAATGATCAACGGCCGCAATGATAGGTGTTGCTGGCCGCTGCTCTTTCGTTTTGTTGAAATTCACTGAGACTTTCACGATCCACATAATCGATCCGAGACCGCCGGTCAGCCGGGCATTAGGAAAAGCTGGATAGCTGGGGGCTCTCGTTAGAAGGAACTTCACTCAGCTTCACAGTCCGCCGGAAGTCCCGAATCGTCCATGAACTCCAGCCACACTCGGTCATTTAGGATCGCGTGTGCAGTCACGCGCATGCAAGAAACGGAGGCGTAGTCTTCTTCTTCTCCCTTTCTTCTTCCTCCCCCTTCCTCTCCTCTCACTTTGTTTATATTCATCGAGATCCGGATATCTTCTCTTCACTGGGGATTCTACGGCCGCATGCGGCGTTTCACCGTGCACCACAACGTGACGAAACCGATGAAACGAACGCGATAGAGCTGTGACGCGCGCAATTAAGAAAATTTAATTTTGACTAACAAGAGCGGCATGAGAAGCGCGGAGAGATTGATTAATTTCGTCAAATCTTTTCTCCCCCGTGTGAATGAGAAGTGTGTCGACACGGATTGCGTGCGATCCGCGCGCGTGGGATTGGACTCGTGGCGAGAGAGAAAGAGAATGGTTGCATTTAGACGTAATTCACATCCAACGGAAGGAGCAGATTGAATGCGCGATGCTGGATCGCGCGTTTGTATGTTGTAGGTGAAAACGCCGCTTCTCTCGCGTACTTTATTCGACAGTTTTTCCGCGCCGGCTGCTCGATATTGCGCAAGACAAAATAATTAATATCGCCGATGCTGGCCTCTCGGGACCGGTTGTGCCGTTCATGTTTTTAGATTTTATCCTGGCGTCTGAGATTTAAAGTCGCGTTCAACGTTGCAACGATGAATTTAACGTTTGACTTTAAAAATTATCCGCGTTTTAATCAGCTTTCATACACTGGGATTGCAATTGCGGGACGATTTATAAAGAGAAGAAACAGTTGACAGTTAATAAACATGTTGAATTTTCGAAAAAATTCCTTGAAAAAGGACAGAAGTATATTTGCTGTGGGAAAAATCTTTAGGACGGCTCGAAGATTGATTTCGTAAGGTTCGCGTCTGGGTTTTGGACTGATCGGATTTTGATAACGAAACGAGTTTTTGTTCGTTCTTTCAAGGCAACTTCATCGCTTGAACGGCAGCGATATGGGTGTGTCGTGCTAATAATGTCGCTTTTTAATTATGTCACAAAGCATAACGGAGTCAAGAAGTGTCGAGTGAACGAGTAACGGCATTCACCCGGCCGACGAGAAGCGCGAAAGGAGAAGACTCGTACAAATCACTGGGGTCCACAGAGGGGCCCGAGGATACACTACTCGTTACACACAGAATCTACTAATTATTATTTATTATTCGTTATTATTTACCGAATTTATTCACGTTTGCGTGATTTCGTTCGGGATATCTCAAGCAACCTTGAGCAAATGTCCTGCCGTATAATTTTCTAAGAATGTACACTGAGAGAAAAACAACTGGATCCGCAAAATCGACGGTCAATCTTAGCCAAAAAAAAAAATACTGTGTCCGCTGAATAAATTACGCGTTGCATTGACGTGAAACAATACGTTGCGTTAAAATGGTTGACGAAATTGCAATAATTGAATCAATTGGTAATTCATCACAGCAACAGTACGATTTGTTCGGCGGATTAAATGCGCTTGAAGAAGATTTTCGCTCGTCCAAGCAAAATTTCGTTGATTCTGCAAGCTTTTCCTTTTCCGGAATATATGAATTATTACAACTAAATATAAATTACCATCCCCTCCGCTGCTCTGAAAAAATTCATTACGGCCACGTGGATTCAACGAGATGAATTCCGGGCGATTCGACTGAGTTCGGATATTGTTTGAAACAATAGCACGTCACGTTTAAATAATAACGTTCGATTCTGGAGCCGACAATGGTAACGAATAACGTTCCACTTCGCGGCGCAGTTGTTCCATTGAGCAAGAGAATGCGCGCGTTTCGCCGGAAAAATCTCGCATCGTAGGTGGCTGTAACAAGCGCCTCCGTGGCGCCATCCTTCACAGGAAATTGCGGTTGTCAAAGCAACATTTACGAACGATTACGAACGACGCCGGTGCTGATTGTGAATTTCATGCTTGCGCTCTGCGCTCTGCTTTTATTATCGCGTCTTGTCCGTCGCGCCTCGCATCGCCGAGGCCGCTCATTAACCATCGGGGATGCTTCCACCCCCCTTTTATTTCAATTCTCTCCTCGTGCACCGAGGAGAAAGTGTGTTTTTTCCAGCGATATTCATAGCGACATCGAAAACGTTTCCCGAGCGACTCCGAAGCCGAGGAAAACCGAGCTCCGCCTACCTGTCCCCCAATTTCCACCTGTCTCTTGATTTAAACGCGCCCTTTGCCACGACAACTCCTCGGGCATTCCTCGGCCCTTCCTACAGTCTCAGTGGCAACGCGCAAGGTGGTAACCGTGTCACTTCTTCGTCGAAAGAATGCCGAGGTTTCGCCGATACTATCTTACGCTCTAACAATTTACATAATCGCTCCTCCATTTTCCGCGACCGTTCCTCCAGTTCAAGCATCAAACGTCTAACGGGGGCGGAAGGGGGGAACGGGGGAGGGAAGGAGGATATCTCATAGCCGGGGCACGATTTTTCAACGGCGCGCGAAATGCCTCCTCGAGCTCGTTCACCGAGCGTGAAAAATTCGCGCCGTTTATCATCGGAGAAGGGGGGGGGGGGGAATTTTT